AACTGAAAGTACTTCTTAACGCATTTAAAGTAGGGGAATTTCAGATGTTACCGGTTGACAACGGCGCGCGACGTTGTATGATTTGAATAAACATTTTCAAATAAATAACACGTGTCGATTCATTTTGTTATTTCTAGCTGTCAGTGGTCTTGATAATTTATTATTACATTCTGGAAAATTATAAGAAAAAAAAGGCATTGACAACATTTTCAGTCCTTGTTCTACGACGTTATCCTAAATATAACGTAAAAAACCTATAGGAACACTTTTTGTGTTTTGTTTTAAATCAACTTAAAGCAGCATTAACGTTGTTCTTATAATTTTTTGTTTGGCAGATAATGTAATTTACCATCCTTAACTTCATTTTTTGATACTGCTACGATTAGTGGAAGAATTTTTAATTGAAATACCTTTAAACATGAAGCTACAAAGAGAATTAGCAGGTAATAAAAGTTCGGGTTTCCTCCAACCACAACGAAATCGGTTCCGAATATTTAAATTTTATCAGTGGTATAAATAATTATTAGCACGCCACTGTACACATTGAGGTATCGACATTTTTAATCATAAAAATAAGCTAATCGAAAGATATAACAATTGCTAATAAAATTGATTTAATGAAAAATAATAATTTCTGTTTGCACGCCACTGTACCGCATATCATTGAGGTAGGTATTCGATATTTTTAATCACAGTAAATACGCTGGCTGAAAGGTATGACAATTGCTAAAAAAATTCACCAGTAAGAACGATTCGGGATGGTTTAGAATGGAAAAGTTGAGAAAATTAATATGGTTATGTTAAATAAACGATATTTTAAAAACAAAGGCAAATATCAAAATTTTGAGAAATTGGTTTCTTAATAATATGTCAATGATTAACGTGAACTAAACAAATGAAACTTCAAATGATTATTTTTAAAATTATGCACCTTTGAATGTAAAATTCGGTGAGCCATTAATAAATAATTCCGAAAATGGGCGATTATTAGTACGCTACTGGACACCACATTATTTTAGTTTTTTTTTTCATTGAAAATAAACCAGGATATCGTGAGGTATATCAAACAGCAGCATAAGATGCAAGATTTACTGTACAGGATGGTTCAGGTGCTTAAAAGTTGAAAAAAGTGGAGGTTATGAAAAAAAAATCGATATTTATAAAACTAAGGCAGGTATAAAAAATTTGAGAAATTAGGTACTTTTTTTGCAGAAGATCATTGATTAAAACGCCGCATAGAAATAAAATTTAAAAAATTATCCGAGAAAGTTACACACATTCAAAATTGGGATGAAAATCATGGACTCTTTTAACACCCTGTATAAAAAAAAGAAGACATTTAAAAAAATTTCAAAATAGCAATTTTTTTCACAAAAAGTCAATCTGTCAGCCCGTGAAAACCGCACGTCGATATCTAGTTTGGTTCCAAAAATATCGAGCTTGAACGTTAGGCGATATTTACCTTGTTCGAAAGCAATTGTCCAGCAGTTTATTTTACCCATCGCAGCAGGATATATTTTAGTTTCTCTGGATTCCACTTCAGTTTTTGCGAAGATTCCGAAAAGTTTAACAAAAAAATTGTGAAGAAAATTCACCAGTACCTACCTAATTCAATAATTTATTTAAAATATTTACATTGTTCCATCTAGCGGCGAACCTGAGATATAAATATTTATGGTCATGGTATTAGAAAGGAATTCATAGCTTTCGTTATTGAATGTTGTTTCAGTAAGGTCATAGATGTCGTTAGTGAAGTAGGTTCTATGGTACTATCAAAATAAATAATTATTACTATTATCTTTGTTACATGCAACAATTTGATACAGGAAATTTTTATCATAAATGGGTACCGATTTTAAAAAATCCAACAAAGTTTGAAACGATACACAATGAAAAAGTCGAAGCTAACTTGAATCTGAACACGTTTTCAAAAGTTTACTTTCATATTGAGTGCCAAACAACATTTTTTACAATACCTGGCTCTAAGCCCGTTCGCGTTTTAGGTTTTACTTTCTTTTTCGAAAATAAACATATAATTTTATCGAGTTGTCAGCATTGACGCGTGGGTTCATGTGCGAGAACTACAAAATTGCCTCATTAAAACCCATTTTTGCATATACATATATATACCGCGTTTTATTCAAAAAGAAATGAGCGCCCAATTAGGACTCAACTATTGAAAAAGACACATTGTCATGTTTTAAATTTGTATAGGTATACTTAGGTCTTTAATAGGTCATGTTGCCAGTTTCAACCGAAACCAAAAGCTGGAATTTTAAATAATAGAATATCCTGTAGGTACATTAAGTATTGCAAATTTTGGATGCTACCTACTGTACAATATAAAATCTAGATGCATTTTATTATGTCCTACATACAGGGTGTCAATTTGAAAACTTCCCACCCCTATTATCACATTATTTTGGAAAAAATCCCCGAAACACGTTAACTATAATTTCGAGGGGATGACTTTTCATGCAATCCACCACCCATTTGAGCCCCTAAAGCCACCACCTGAAAAAAGAGGGGTGAGTGATGCATCTTTTTAACGATCTTTCGGACCTTATTGAAAATAACAAGTTTGAATTCTCTACTGAGACCCTCGTTTTTATGACAGCTTGTCAAAATCCTTTTAAAGAAAGTTAGCGACTGCAAATTTTTTGGGGACGATGAGGATCAGACGACCTTCGAAATAAGCTATGAGTCAACCCATTGAGTGGGGGTGTTTTGTATCTAAAAACTTCAACACTGACGTCCTAATCCAATAAAAAAATATTTTCAAAGCTCTTCTGGTTGATTTGAAGTAGCTAATTTTTGTGATTATTTATTTATTAATTACAAATAAATATACATTCTTACTTCAAGATTTTGAAAAGCTGTCATATTAACGGGGTTGACAGCAGATACTTCAAACTTGTCAGTTCACATACGAGCCGAATGAACTTAAAATGATGTATTACTCGACCCCCTTCTCATTTAAAATTTTTAGGGGAGTGCCTCTGAGAGCTAGGGGGTTCAAAAGGGGGAGGTGACTTTTGCAACTCCAAATTATGGTCTTATAGTTAACTTGTTTCGGGGGTTTTCCCAAAATATTCCGTTTCTGATATAATAGGAGTGGGAAGTTTTCAAATTGACACCCTGTATATCTTCAACTCTCTTTGAAATATTGACAGGTAAAAATAGACCTTCCGCAAGTTTGACAGCCTGTGAAATCTAATATATTTGTATCGGAGCAAAATGGTTTTCACGTTTTCACTTTCGATTCTTACGTTTCATAAGCTACACTAGCTTCGGGCTTAACCAAAGGTTGAAAAGTTCTGATTGAAATTAACCCTTAGTTAAATTTAGATCTAGTGTCAAATTGAAGCTTGTTCAAAGTAAGGGTCGAAAAGTGCAAAACGCTTAGACTTTACAGGCTGTCAAAGTTGCAAAATGTTATTTTTGAAATGTCAATATTTCAAAGACAGTTGAACGTAGGACATAATACATGAAACATTATGTAGATTTCACGGTGACACTCCCATGTTGCCATTGTAATCAAAATATCGAGGAAAATATATAGTATTCTCATTCAATACTTGTAGAATAAATTATTGAAAAAATAATGGAGAATGTGGAAAAATATATTCAAAAACTACCTGATGCAAAAGTACCTGAAAATGCCAAAAAATGAATTAAAAAAAAGTACTCCAAAAAAAAATTAAAATAACTATTTTTATATGAATTATATATAAACCTGAATCTAATTAACAATTTAAAAAATATATTATGGAATATTTTAATTTCAAATAATATGCAGTCAATTATAAATTCTATTTTCTGGAATTTAAATTAATTATTCTTTAATGTGCAAATAGTGGTTTTGATTTTAAATTTACAATGTATCTACCCACAGCCTCCTATAGTTAACAAGCCATGAAGCTGGAAATGACGGCAACGTCGCGTATGGTGCTATTTTGTTATTGGGTTATGTGTTTCTGTGTATTGCGTTCATTGTGTATTGTTGTAGTTTAGTATTTTTGTGGGCATTATTGACGAAAAAGTGAATAGAAACACACCCATATATTGCCCATATTTAGTTGATACCGGTTCCTTTGTGCTTTGATTGCAAATTTTTAGCATATGGGTACAGGAGCAAAAATGAAGGTAAGGTAAGGTAAAACAATAAAAACGATATAAATATTTGTGTGCAAGAGCATAGGTCTCGCTATATTACCTAAGATATTAAAACTTGTTCCAGATGCCATGAAACTCCTGTGTTCCTGGGTGCAAATCGAACTTCCTTAAAAACTGAAGAAATGCAAACATTTTCATTTCCAAAAAAATTCTGAAGCGCAAAAAAGGGGGATGAAAGCAATACACCAAGATAATTATACCCGAGATTATACAATAACGAAAAATTCTGTGGTGTGCAGTGCTGTAAACATGTTGAAGAAACCGAAATAATTAGATTTGAAACAAACAAGGATAAAGGAGTAGTTCGAGAGTTCAAACTAAAACGTCCAACTCTTAAAAGTACCTCTTATTTTCGAAAATTAGCTCAAGTATTTGAATGGACCTGCCTTCCGAAAAAATCTCGAAGAAAGAAAAAGTTAGATTTTCAAAAGGCGTACTGAAACATAGGCTTATAACACTTTAGAATCTAGAAATATATTCATTTAAATCCATTATTTTTGTTTTTATTTACATAAATAGTTATATTATTCATTGAATTACTGTTTTTGGCCCTTTATTACAATAAATGGTGCATTTTTTGTGATTCATATTAACAAAATAAAAAATATATACTTATAAAAACAAACAGCACCAGCACCACTTGGCGGTAAGATTGCGGTGTTGCCTTTTTAACTTCATGGCTTGTTAAATGTAGGAGGCTGTGATCTACCTAATAATAGATAGATAAAAAAAAATAGGTATGTAGGTAGGTATGATTTTATATTGGAAATATAGGCTTATACACTCGCTTATACATTATATTATAATTATTCTTAAAATACTCACGAAACTATATACACTTCTTCACTTTTATAATTAATTATAAAGTTGTACGTCACACACTTAATACTTTAACTTAATTGGATGGATTCATTGTTCGTCGTTTCTCTCGGCTTCCATCTGCTTCTTTAAAAAGTTCCTCAAAGCTTTCCTTATTTTAGTCGTTAACCGGTTAGCCTGCCTGTTCGTCTCCGGATATCCAGTTTTTTTATATTGACTCATCAATATACTTCTATCCTTCATCATTTTTCTTATTTTTGGCGGGACGTTCTCATAGCGTGGTAAGTCTACTAATTTAACTTTTTTTTCTGAATCAATGCTGGTAGTTCTAGGTGGATTATAATTTTTTCTCAACAATTCTGTGGATGAGTTTAAAGCAACCTTTACGACTTCCAGTGAATAATTGAACATTGTTTCAACAGCAAAGAAAAAAACATCCTCAGGTATAAAGTCCATGGTCTTAATCTTTCTACTCTTCAAGGGATGTACACAGTAACTGAACCATTAAGAAAGGTACGAGCAAATAGAGCCTATTTTGTCTGCATGGAGAGGGCGGAGTTTCATTTTATTTGAATTTAAATTGATTTTTAATTATTTTTGCCTTCAGTTAAACACAACTGATAAACCTCTATTATATCAAATATTATGGCAACGTTCAATAAACAACAATGATCACTATTAGCTCCTGCGTAATAATTATTCCATTTTCCGATTTTGCATATACCTATACATATTTAAGTTTTTATCACATGCATTTAGCGTGATAAATCAGAGAAAGCAAGGAGGTTGAATCATCCCCAAAACCCCAATAAAAATTTCAAATTGTTTTTTTGTCCCCCTTTCCAATTTGACACTTTTTGACAGGGTGACTCTCACTGCATTGGGGATGTTTCAACTTTATAGAAGTACTGTCGGAAGATATTCCCGGAAATTTGCTTTTTATTTTGGAAACGTAACGATAGTTTGCCAGAAGCGCGTTATACCTATGATCAATTTTCTGCTAAAAACTTTGCTAGGAAAAGGAAACCCTAACAACTTATACCTGTACATTTATTTAAATTTTCAATGTATAGGTTAATGTGTTTAAACGGTTAGTTTTGCATCAAGAAGGTATGGTATTTATTTGATTTTGAACCTATAGGTGAGTTATGCATAAATTAAAAAGATACCTGAAAATTCAAAGAAGTTGTTGGACTTGGTGTTCGAATTACTTGGAATACTTACAGGTAGAAAAATAATAATTGTTTTGGGATTTGTTCATCCTATCCGGCCTTAATCGGACTACCTATAGGTACAGGGTGTCGGGAATAACTTGAAGTACAATGGAATTTTGGAAGCCATTAAAGATACAGGGTGGACCGAATGGGGAAAAAGTTGCATGGATATACAGGACAAAAAAGAAAAAAATGCGTTTTTTAAAGAAGTTGATGAGATATTATTTGCAGGCACTGGATTAATTGCGCAACTTTCTCCCCATTTGGTCCAGCCTGTATATTCAATGGTTTCCAAAATCCCCATGTACTTCAAGTTATTTCGGTTAGTTAGCCACACCTAACTTTTAGATAGAGTAACTTCATTCAAGATCATTTCTGAATTTTTATTCGCTTTGTGGTCTTTTATGAGTTTATTATTCACTTCAATAATTAGAAACAGGCCAAGATTTTTATAATAATCTAAATTTCTTATTTATTGTTTACTACCTACCTAAAGTTGTTTATCTTCTACCGATCCGATTCACAGAACTATTTCGCAAGAAAATCGCTCCATTCATTATAAACCTTGATCGATTCAATGAGACGGTGTCGAAAAGTGGAGAATTTCCCGCGAAATCGAAAGTGGAAACGTCTGCCGTCTGACACGTAGAAATTAGGAATGCATGGCTGAAGTGGTAAAGTTTAACGAGTACAAAGTTTCATTTAAATCATAAAAGTAGCAGTGTGGCGATTAATGAAAATTTGATTGAAAACTTACAAACCGCTCGGCTTCAATTTAAGTTTTCTTCAATAAGAGAAACCGACGTGATAATAATTTCCAGTCAAAATCAGCTAAAAATATGGGTGATTGGTAAAACTTTCGAAAAACAAACACCATCCGTTTTGAATTTATTGTTTTATTTTAGAAAATTTACTATTTCGTTCATGGTTGGGACATGGAATAAGTAGACAATCCAACGACCTGTCAAAAATGGCGCACAATGAACAAAAAAACATATATTTTCTTTGGCGGGAATACACTGGGCAAGTTCGGAAATGACATCGCAGATGCGACAGATTTTTTTCACACGTGACTTCAAACTGATTTTCTGCTCGTGGAGCTATTTCCTAAACTAAGCCCATGCTGACATATTTCTGACATCGTTGACATGGAACAACTCGTATTCTAACCACATAAAAATATAAAAATTTCAAAATTGGCCGTCACGTGGTTTGGATTCCGTAATTCGAATAAAGCTAGGTAGGTACCTAAAAATTATTTACTTGATTATGAGATTATGATAATAAAAAGGAAGTGAACTTTTTTTCACTATTGGAATTAATTTGACCAAGATAAGCAACAGAATATACCATAACCATTAGTATTCATTGAAACAGCAGACTGAAAAGTCTTATCCTTTTTAAAATTTAAATCTCAGTCTAGCTAAAACCTTTTAGCCCAAAGCCGTTTAATTTTTATTTTTTTTCTGTATTTATGGTTGACGCCATGGAAACTTGGCATTTATAAAAAAAACGCATTTAAATTCAGTTTACATCGTCTGGGTTTTATTGCACTGTTGTGTTTCGCTGCACAAATTAGCATATTTTTCTACCATTAAGAAAAATCGTGTAATCAAGTGTAATCTTATTATGTACCAAGATTAAAGTTGTAAATTTGAAAACTCATCTAATTGTTGAAACCATTTCAAACTTATAACTACATATTATTTTCCATTGCATTTTAGAGTTTTTGACAATAAAATATTTTTAGTATTTTTGTAAAACAAGCTTGAAAAATATGCCATCAGGTTACTTTTAAACTTTGCTTTTAGCCAGACGCTTGGAACTGTAGCTTTACTAAAAGTAACGGCTATTTTAAGTGCCAATGTTCATTTTTGTTGCATTTTGTTTTCAATGACAACTTTAATACCTGAATAAATAGAATAATGTTTCCCTACCTTTTACATTTTAATGGTCCGATGCAGTCAAAGCACCTTGAACCAAAATTACCTGGCCATTAAATACGAGTTAATTTTACACAAATAATAATATTTTGCGCAAGTAGCAATTAAAATTCCTAGATTGTCTGAATTGATGTAGTCTGGTAGCCTATACTCTGTTTCCTTTTCGCTGAGAGCACAGAATCTCATTATGAATTCAAAAACGCAAAGAAAGTGTCGAAAACAGCATTGTATGTAACAGAAGCATAAACCTACTTTCAACAATATTTCACCGACACAGTCGGTACCGGCTTGATTACAATAGTTTTATAAAACTTTAACAAGCGACGTTTCAGGTAGGTAATGAAGAATATATTATAATAATGAAAATGTGCAAAAAGTTCACCTATTGCAATAGAAACAGAATAATATAATTCATTTATATCGTAAATTAATAGGTAATTAACTCCTTACAAAAATAAGAATAACTTAAAATAATGAAAATGTACAAGAAGTTCACCTATTGCAATAGAAACAAAAAAATAGATATTATTAGAAAAAAGGTACAAAAAATAAATTTCACTGAGAAAAGGGACTCAGAAAAATGTTCAATTCTTTGAGCGACTTTCCCCTGAATCAGATGTCACATTATAATTAATGGGTCTACAGTCTTTTCCAAGACGTTGTCAAGGTTCCACGTGGCTTGTTCCTCCTTTATTACACGATTTACAGCATTGCTGCAGTTTTCTGCAGTTGCGTGACTTAACGACTTTCTTAACAGTTCTCGAACATCTTGTAATTCGAAGGTGGTGTTATTTCTTGCTATAAATCCCTTTATTATATTTTAGTTCAATCGTATTTAATTCGTGATGGTAGGGTGGCAAGCAAAGTATAATTGTTATTATATTCCGTTCCCTAATCATTTCATCAACAACATGTTTTTTGAATTGTTAATTTTGTTCTTTAGCTATTTTCAGAGCTTTCATTTAGCCAATTTAGAATGTCTTCCTTCCGCCAGGAACATGGTAATTTTTCTGCTAGTCTGGAATGATAGCTGGCGTTTTTCATGACAATGACGGAACGTTCAGGAATTGAGCTCATCATTTCAAAAAGGTAGTCTTCAGGAACATCGGCCGTCATTTCTTCATGGTAACCATTAGTTGATTTTGATTCGAATTCAAGCAAACCTCCATTTAAAAAGCCGCGCGCTATCACTACCAATGTGAGTTATTGTCACAAGATCTTGGTGACGGGGGGTGTAGGGTGGATAGATGGAGGAAAACTCGCTCAGTTTTATATAAAAATGTTGTATATTTGCTATGAAGTCATTAGATGAATCCTCCAGGATGTATGCTCTTCCGTGGATAGGGCCACACGTTTGACGCTACTTAGGAATGTCGGTTTAATGTTACTAATGTTACGTTGAATGCTGGGATCTATGTTCATATTTCGAAAACATTTCGAATCTTTTATTTCGAATGCTTTTATTTCGAAAACTTTTATTTCGAATTACCTTTTTTTCGAAATTTAATCATTTCGAAAACATGCATTTCGAAAACTTTCATTTCGAAGTACATTTTCTTCGAAATTCAATCATTTCGAAAACATTTATTTCGAAAACTCTTATTTCGAATGACTTTATTTTCGAAATTCAATCATTTCGAGAAGATTTATTTCAAAAACTTTTTTTCGAATTACTTTTTTTTCGAAATTCAATACTTTCGAAAACATTAATTTCGAAAACAATAATTTCGATCTTCAATAATTTCGAAAACAATAATTTCGATATTCAATAGTTTCGAAAACATTTATTTCGAAACTCAGTAATATTATCATATATGACCTCTATGCAGTGCGCTCCAGCAGACAATATTAAACTTACCGATAATAACCGGGTTAGTTTGGGTTAGTATGCAATTTTAATCAGAAATTACCAAACTCACCGATAATAACCTGGTTAGTTTGGGTTATTCTGCAATTTAATGTCTGATTATAATTGCAAACTAACCCAAACTAACTAGGTTATTATTGGTAAGTTTGGTAATTTCTGATTAAAATTGCAAACTTACAACTGACCCAAACAAAATTATTGTTTTCGAAATTATTGAATTTCGAAAGGAAAGTCATGCGAAGTGAATGTTTTCGCAATAAATGTTTTCGAAACATATGTTTTCGAACTGATTGAATTTCGAAAAAAAAGTAATTCGAAATAAAAGTTTTGGCAATAAATGTTTGAATTTCGAGAAAAAAGTATTTCGAAATAAAAGTTTTCGAAATAAATGTTTTTGAAATGATTGAATTTCAAAAAAAAAGTAATTCGCAATAAAAGTTTTTGGAATAAATGTTTTCGAAAAGTCCGTCTGTTGCTCGGCTTGGCCCGCTATTTATATGAATTTATTACTGAATTGCAATAAACATCCAAATGAATCGGCAATTAAATTAATAAGGTTGAATACCGGGCCCTCCTCTCCTAAGTAGCTAGTTGGGGCATATGTCCCCTCCATGAAGCATTGGACCCCAATCTTGGAAGAGACATAAAGAAAAAATAG